CCCTTCGTGCAGCCGCAGCAGAGCGGGAGCCGGCTGGTGGAGGAGCTGTACCTGGGGGACATTCACACGGAGTGGGTGGAGAGGCTCCACTACCGACCGACCGGTTACCAGCGACCTATGCAGAGCGCCGTGGTAAGGACGATGCTTTTACGCGGTCCCCCCATCAGTACATGGGCCGTGTGATTTCTTTACTGTGAAAATACCGCCTGCCTGAGCTTAGACCCCCCCAGACAGGGCTGTAGGCACAGATTCCCAGGGGGATGCCTGGGTGCTCTGTGGCAGGTGGGGATCACCGTCTCCCTTACCAAGAGACTGGGATCGGGGTGGGCGAAAGCTCAGCAAAACCAACATGGGGAACAAGCCTGCGCTGGCAGGGGCCTGGGGTTAACGGCTTTGCTTTGGCTCTGCGTTTTCCTAGGTTTGCTGGTTTCCCGCACCAAAGTTGGTGAAAGCTTTGGGCTGCGCGGCACTAGAGACTGCCTGCCCTGCCAGCCGTCCTCCTCCCCTCTCTTTCGCTCTTTGTCGTGTCCTCCAGGTTGAGAGAGGAGCGAGGCAGCAACATCTGCCATTAAATCATTAGTCCTCAGCGTAATGCCATTAGAACAGGAAGTTGCCCTGAATACAATTATGTTATTACCCAGAAATCAAACTTCCATTTTGACATAAATAGCGCTGAGCAGGAGGGTTGGCTGCCTGTTATTTTATTTTATATTTTTTTTTGCAGCAGGTTAGTTTGTTTCCAGGAAAGCACTTTTCCATTTCAATCATAGTTAATCGATTCAGAAGCGATTGAGCAGTGAGATGGGGTGCAAAAACCTCTCTGAACTTCACCAGATAGAGCTGAATTAAGTGAAAAAAAAAATTATTTTGGGAGGAACATTTAACCACAGCCCAAACTGCACCAACTGAACTCTGAAAAGCACAGAGCAACACTCCTCTCCCCCCTCCGAAAGTAACATTCTCAAATAGATTAAACTTGTATTATCTTGGGCCAAAACCATATATATGAGCAAAACCAGACGGTAAACATAAACACTTTTAAAGGTTAATTTAAAACCAAACCTAAAGATACTGAAATTCATTCTCTGAACACAGCACTGTAATTAATCAGCTAACAGCTCTCCAATGGACCAGCACATGATGTCACCACTTGGCGATAATTAGAAGCTGCCATATTTTAGAAATAACTTCACACGACTGGCTTAAGCAAGTAAGATTTTTGGCTCCATGGCTGTAGTGATAATTTTATTGAGCACAGGATTTTTCCTTTTTTTTTCCTTTTCTCTGAACTAACATCCATTTGCCTGTGCTGGTGAGTTACACAGCTATGTTAGAAATTGGTTTTTAACGCTCTTTATGAAAATATCACTCCTTCCCCCTTAAATTTCTATCTGTTTTAAAGAAACTCATTCTCCCCAAATTACCTTTCATTATCAAAGAATTTCCTGTCTAAGGAGCACATGTATGTTTGCCAACCTCTGGGATTATTTAGCCATAATGCACAGTGTACTGTCAGCACTCATTAACGTGACAGTAGCAGCAAAGCAAGCTGAAAATGACTAAATTACAGCAGACTCCAATCAACTTGCATATAAATTACCCACCCTACAGTTAACTACCGAGTTATTTAACCTCGTTGCACACGACAGTTCAGCAAAGATCAGCTCGTGTTCTAGAAAATGATATAACGTTCAAACCCTGGTTATTTAAAAATAAATCGGTTGTGATATATGAAGTATAAGAAAAAGTTCCAGCCTACACAAAAAACGCTCTTGGCACTGGATCTGGTTTGACTCAGAGCTCTGCACGAAGCGCAGGCAGAGCAGCAAAGGCCAGGTCCTCGCTTTGCAGCAGGTCCTTTTCTTCTCTGTCCCCGGCTTGGAGCCCGTTCTGACCGCTTGGCAACCCCCCCCCCTCGCCTCCCTCCCGACCCGCCTTA